TAGTGAAAAAATAGGCGGCAAAAAAATTTTTAGGGGGTTTTTTTTTTTTTTTAATTAAATTTTTTTAGAGGGTCGAATACATAAAAAAAATAGTATATAAATTTATAAGGAATTAAAAAAAATTAAGAGTTAATGTCCAGTAAATATAAGGATGAAATAACAAATAAAAAACAAAAAGAAAGCCTAGTGGCACGCATGTGAGCTCGTGACAAGAGATTAGTAGTAGTCTAGGAGAATATAATCCAGTTCTCAATTAAAGAACAAGTTTATGTTGTGGTACCAATAATAAAACAAATTTCAGAGGTACTACCTTTTGTTCAATGAGAAGTGACTGCTATATAATTAGATTGTGTAATCAAATCCTCAATTGGATATTCCAAGTTAGGTCCTTCAGAGGATGTCATATAAAAATAAACTATAATGTTCTCTTTGACCATGTATTACTTTATTTTAGAAATGTCATGATTCATATTCACAATTTCACAACACAAAATGTGTCTAAATTTATTTGTATGATAATAAAAAAAAACACTATTGATATATATAGTGTACACGTATAACTAAAACATTGCATTGAACTATAACCAAATGATGAATTTATAATTTATTGAAATTGGACATTTAAACTTCATTTAAGTTTAACTTAGTAATTAGTATATGAAAAAGAACATAAATTTAAAGTAACCACACATTACACCAATTAATCATTGGCTAGTGTGGTATTGATTTTTTTTCAAATGGTGAAAATTTGTCAAGTTTGAAACCCCTTTTTACTGTCAATAAAAAGAAAGTAAACACATATAACATTAGATGATCATAATAGTAATAATATTAAGAGAAAAAAAACATTGGAATGGTGGAAAAGTATAAATTGGGTATTAGATAGTCTTTTCAGACAACCACTAGATGCCCTCTCAAATAGACATCCTTTTGCGAGAGCTACTGATTGCCTCGGAAAAAATCTTATGAACAGTATTGTACAATTTGCTTTTTATGAACAGTATTTCAACTTTGGTCTTAGAACAGTATTTCCTTATTGCGTCAACATTATTGCGTCAACACTTCCTTCTTAGAACACTTCCCTATTCTTAGAACAGTACAACACTTCCCTATTCTTAGAACAGTATTTCCTTATTGCGTCAACATTATTGCGTCAACAATTCCTTCTCAGATTCTTAGAACAGTGGAACACTTCCTAAGTCTGTATTTCCTTATTGCGTCTTAGAACAGAGCAGTCCTCCAACCAAGCCGCTCAAACCTCTTCAAGCTGGGGAGGGAGGCCCTCTCCTCTCCTCCTCTCCTTCCTTCCTTCCCCCTTATTTCTCCTTCTCTCTCGGCCCATCTTCTTATCTTTCCACTTTTCGGGGACAGCACTTGCCGAACCTCTTGTTCCCCCCTCCCTTTCTTGTTCCCCTACCTCTACCCAGATCTGCGTGGATCCTGGGTTTTACGCCTAGATCTGTTTGGACTCCAAGTTTCTGGGTTTTACGCCTAGATCTGTAGTGCATGTTTCTGTGTTTATTTTGTTGTTGCAGGTTTTCGGTGCTGGTAGGGTCTAAGCAGTGCAATTCGATATTCAGTTCGATGATCCACACTTGCCTCCTCCCAGATATAGATCATCGAACTGAATATTGAATTGCACTGCATAGAACTTTTGTGTAGAAGGCTAGAAGCCTCTCTTTGTCCCTAGCTATGGTCTTCATGTCATTGTTGCAATTTACTGTGGCTTTGTTATTCTTGTGTACTTGTGTGTGAACTTCACTTTTGTTATGAATACGTATTGGATTTTCTTTACTTTAGCTTCAGTTCATATTAAATATCATAAGACACCTAGGAAAAAACTCATGCATCAGATACATTCAAATGTAGTTTTGATTAAACTTTGTTGTATATTGCATTAACATTTATACTTTGCTCTTATTGTCAGGGAACTGAAACCGTTCGAGCCATATTCTTTAACAGATCTAAGATTGGAGAACTACACTTGGATTGTGCAGACTTCAAAAAGATGTCGAATCTAAGTTTACTCAATCTCGACGATTCTGGCTTTGGCAACTATTGCCAATTAAAAGTTTCTCTTCCCAATTCTCTTTGTTATCTTTCGTGGGCGGAATATCCTTTGAAATCTATGCCATCAATTTTTTTTATTTTTCCAGAAAATCTTGTTGAGCTTCGAATGCACGGCAGCAAAGTTGAGCAACTTTGGAATAAAGACCAGGTGTATGCTTATTTCGCTTATTGTATAAAATTTAGTGTGATTATTTCTTCTGTCTAAGTTATTAAGTCTTGTCTTTTCTCTTTATTTATGACAGAATCTTGAGAACTTATAAGTGATGGATCTTAGTTTCTCCACTCATCTTATTAAAGTCCCAGATCTCTCTCTAAGTCGAAAATTGGTGCGTATAAATCTTTTTGGATGTACAAGTCTGGTTCAAATACATCGTATTTTCAGTGTCTTGACAAGCTTACTCATCTTGGCCTGGCAGAATGCTCGAATCTCAAATATGCCAAGCAACATTGAATTCTTAAATTTGTCTAAAACTGCAATAAAGGATTTGCCTTCATCAGTTTGGTCTCACAAAAAGATTTCTTACTTGGATATTCGATTTTGTAATGACCTTAGGAATCTCCCAAGCTGCTGTTGTAAGCTGAAACTACCCTCTGTTTTCAGCCTAGAGGGCTCCTCATGTCTTGGCAAGTTTTCGGAGCTTCCAAGGGATCTAACAGTGTTAGAAATGATAGGAGCAAAAATAGAAGTGTTGCCCTCATGGTCTCAATACAATTCGACTACTTGATTGCAAAAGATTTGTGACTCTTCCATCGACCATTTGTAAGTTAAAATCTCTTATAAATCTTGATCTCGGTGGTTGCTCAAAATTCAAGTACTTGCCAGAAATCTTGGAGCCTACGGGAAATTTGAAGTTTCTTTCATTAGAAGGAACAAATATTAAAGTGCTACCCTCATCAATCGAATTTCTCTTTAGTCTCGTCAAAATTGAACTGACAAATTGCAAAAAGTTTGTGGTGTCTCCCAACAAGCATTTGTAAGTTGAAATGTCTTTCCGACCTTGATCTCACCGGTTACTCTAAATTTGACGACTACCCAGAAATCTTTGAGCCTGTGGGAGAACTGAAAATTCTTTCATTAGAAGGAGCATCTGTTAAAGAGCTGCCCTCATCAATCGAATGTCTCTTTGGTCTCTCGAAAATTGAAGTGAAAAATTCCAAAAGGTGGTTGCGTCTCCAAAAGGCTGTTAAAGAGCCTATGAAAGATGAATTTTCTTTCATTAAAAGGAACAGCGGTTAAAGAGCTGGGTTTTGATTTCAGTATCAGCAGATGTAGAACTTGAAGAAGAATTTGTAGATGCATCAGATGTAGAAGAAATTGAAGTCTCATCAAATGTACGTCTCTCTCTCTCTCTCTCTCTCTCTCTTTCTCCCCCCTTAGTTACAATGATGAGGATGGGAGCAACATTGGTATCCAACACTTAGAGATATTTACTATGAACTGAAGTTAAAGAAAATCAAATACATATTCATAACAAAAGTGAGGTTCACACATCAAGTACACAAGAATAACAAAGCCACAGTAAATTGCAACAAAGACATGAAGACAATGGACCATAGCTAGGGACAAAGAGAGGCTTCTAGCCTTCTACACAAAAGTTCTAAGCATTGCATTTCGATATTCAGTTCGATGATCCACACTTGCCTCCTCCCAGAAATAGATGATGTCCCCAGCTGTAATGTTTCTGCGATTGACAAAGGCACCTCGGAAAATTAACATTTTTGTGTATTTTCTATGATAAGACACCTAGGAAAAAACTCATGCATCAGATAAATACAAATGTAGTTTTGATTAAACTTTGTTGTATATTGCATTAACATTTATACTTTGCTGTTATGGTCAGGTTACTGAAACTGTTCGAGTCATATTATCATAATCACATTTGCCAGGACGGAGGCCAATTTCATTGAGAACGTTGTCGAAGATATTTTGACCAAATTGAATCGCAAATCGTCAAGTGTTTTAAAGGGCCTAGTTGGAATTTAATGGAAAATTGAGCAAATAGAAAGGTTATTATGCATTAATTCACCAGATGTTTTCACTGTAGGTATTTGGGGCATGGTTGGTATTGGGATGACCACTCTTGATGCTGTGTATCACTCTGTTTCTTCCAAATTTGAAGCTTCTTGTTTTCTTGCTAATGTTATGGAGGAGTCAGAAAGCATGGACTAAAGCACTTGCGAAATGTCCTTCATGAGATATTAAACGAAAAAGATCTAACTATTGACACTCCTTTGGTATCAACTTTTGTTCGAGAAAGGCTAAGCCATAGAAAGGTCCTCATTGTTCTATTGAAACATGTTACACAGAGGTTTTCAGAATGGTGGTAGATTTTGCCGGAGGCATGCCATTAGCTGTTAAGATTTTGGGTTCCGTATTCCTTCACTGCGACAACAATGAAGACTGGAAAGATGAATGGAATAAGTTAAAAAATTTCCCAACCAAGATATTGAGAATATGTTGAGACTAAGTTATGATGGATTGGACAAAAATGCAGAGGAGATATTTCTTTTTATAGCATGTTTCTATAAAGGGATGACAATAGATTTTGCAAAGGAAATGGTATATAGACGTGGTTTATTTGCGGGTGGAATTAAAGTTCTCATTGATAAGTCTCTTGTATCAAGTTCAAGATGGAACAGCCTAGAGATGCATGATTTGGTTCAGGAAATGGGTAGGGCAATAGTTTACAAACAATGTATTGAAGAGCCTGGAGAATGTAGTAGGCTGTTCATTGCTGAGGATATCTGTCATGTATTGAGAAATAATACAGTAACAGCCAAATGCATTCACTTTCTTTATAAAGAAGATTAACACTGTTGTGAATTTTCTATGATAAGACACCTAGGAAAAAACTCATGCATCAGATGCATACAGATGTAGTTTTGATTAAACTTTGTTGTATATTGCATTAACATTTATACTTTGCTCTTATGGTCAGGGAACTGAAACCGTTCGAGCCATATTCTTTAACAGATCTAAGATTGGAGAACTACACTTGGATTGTGCAGACTTCAAAAAGATGTCTAATCTAAGTTTACTCAATCTGGACGATTCTGACTTTGGCAACTATTGCCAATTAAAAGTTTCTCTTCCCAATTCTCTTTGTTATCTTTCGTGGGAGGAATATCTTTCGAAATCTATGCCATCAAATTTTTTTCCAGAAAATCTTGTTGAGCTTCGAATGCACGTTAGCAAAGTTGAGCAACTTTGGAATAAAGACCAGGTATATGCTTATTTCGCTTATTGTATAAAATTTAGTGTGATTATTTCTTGTGTCTAAGTTATTAAGTCTTGTCATTTCTCTTTATTTATGACAGAATCTTGTGAACTTAAAAGTGATGGATCTCAGTTTCTCCACTCATCTTAATAAAGTCCCAGATCTCTCTCAAAGTCGAAAATTGGTGCATATAAATCTTTTCGGCTGTACAAGTTTGGTTCAAATACTTCGTATTTTCAGTGTCTTGACAAGCTTACTCAGCTTGACCTGGGAGAATGCTCGAATCTCAAATATATTCCACAGATGCCAAGCAACATTGAATACTTAAACTTGTCTAAAACTGCAATAAAGGAAATGCCTTCATCAGTTTGGTCTCACAAAACGATTTCTTACTTGGATATTCGATTTTGTAATGACCTTAGGAATTTCCCAAGCAGCAGTTGTAAGCTGAAACTACCCCCTGGTTTCAGTCTAGAGGGCTGCTCATGTCTTGGCAAGTTTTCGGAGCTTTGAAGGGATCTAACAGTGTTAGAAATGATAAGGGCAAAAATAGAAGTGTTGCCCTCATCAATCGAGTATCTCTTTGGTCTCAACACAATTTGACTACTTGATTGCAAAAGATTTGTGACTCTTCCATTGGCCATTTGTAAGTTAAAGTCTCTTATAAATCTTTGTCTCGTTAGTTGCTCAAAATTCAAGTACTTCCCAGAAATCTTGGAGCCTATGGGAAATCTGAAGTTCTGAAGTTTCTTTCATTAAAAGGGACAAATATTAAAGAGCTACCCTCAGCAATCGAATTTCTCTTTAGTCTCGTCAAAATTGAACTGACAAATTGCAAAAAGTTTGTGTCTCCCAACAAGCATTTGTAAGTCGAAATGTCTTTCTGACCTTGATCTCACTGGTTGCTCTAAATTTGAGGACTTCCCAGAAATCTTCGAGCCTACGGGAGAACTGAAAATTCTTTCATTAGAAGGAACATCTGTTAAAGAGCTACCCTCATCAATGGAATGTCTCTTTGGACTCTCGAAAATTGAAGTGAAAAATTCCAAAAGGTTGTTGCGTCTCCAAAAGGCTGTTAAAGAGCCTATGAAAGATGAATTTTCTTTCATTGAAAGGAACAGTGGTTAAAGAGCTGGGGTTTGATTTCAGTATCAGCAGAAGTAGAACTTGAAAAAGAATTTGTAGATGCATCAGATGTAGAAGAAATTGAAGTCTCATCAGATGTACGTCTCTCTCTCTCTCTCTCTCTCTCTCTCTCTCTCTCTCTCTCTCTCTCTCTCTCCATAGTTACAATGATGAGGATGGGAGCATCACTGGTATCCAACACTTTATGATATTTAATATGAACTGAAGCTAAATTAAAGAAAATCAAATACATATTCATAACAAAAGTGAAGTTCACACACCAAGCACACAAGAATAACAAAGCCACAGTAAATTGCAACAAAAACATGAAGACAATGGACCATAGCTAGGGACAAAGAGAGGCTTCTAGCCTTCTACACATAAGTTTTAAGCAGTGCAATTCGATATTCAGTTCGATGATCCACACTTGCCTCCTTCCAGAAATAGATTTTGTCCCCGGCTGTAATGTTTCTGCGATTGACAAAGTCTTTCCATTCTTGGTATTGGAAAACAGGCTTTAAAGCTCCCTCTGCCCTGACAGCTAATTTGAACTCGTAAATCATATTTGTTTCATCTAGAACTCTGACAGGCACATCATGCTCTCGATTGTGAAGAGGCAGGATATTCAGCATTTCCCTGGTCACTCCAAGTCTTTGAGTGATATCGGTGTTTGTCAACACTTTCTCAATCCTATCCATCTCTTTAGAAATTATGAAACTGAATGATTTGTTCCTAGCTAGCTAGCTTCTTGGGGGGAAAGGGTATATATATATATATATATATATATATATATATATGAAGAGAGAGAGAGAGAGAGAGAGAGAGAGAGAGAGAGAACATAGACTTTTTGTTGTTTTGCCTGAAAATAGAGAGTACAA